CGCTCCGACGCCACTATGCCGAGCAGATGGTGTGGAGCCGGCCGCCCGCGGCGAATGCACACCCGCCAGGGTCCCCCAGATGCGGCGAAACAGGTGCGGCGGGAATCGCACCGACGACATTCGGCCAGCCTGACATCTCCAGGAGCTTGATCCCCGGGTGGTTACAAGGACACCACGACGGCGCGATGATAGACCGACCCAGAGTAGGGTCAACGATTTGTTCGGGGCCGGCGGTGATCGAGACGAGGCCGGCGATGGCGCCGTTCAGGCGGCGAGCAGATCGATGCGCCCCAGGCAGGAGGGCCGCGCGAGACGGCGAGGCGCATGACGACGCGGACCCGCCGCCAGATTGGTGTGACAGCACGTGGCTCATTACGCAGCACCGTTACGGCACGGCGCTCGATGGCTGAGCTGGGAGCCGCCGTTGAAGCCGAACCAGACGAGCCAGGAGGACTTGAAGACTCACAGGCACGCACGCACGTTGGAGGGGGCGTGGCCTGGTAACGGTGCGCGTCGCTGCGGGACTTGTTTGCCAGAGCAGGGCCGACGACCAGATCGCGCCGGCGCGAGGCGACCAGACCGCCGGTGCGTGGACGATGGTCGATCCGGCGAAGTCCTGGAAGCCCATCGCGTCCAGCCAGCCGCCGCCCCACGTCCAGCGCCGACGATCGGGTAGATGAGTGGGGTCAGGTGACCAGGTGTGAAGAGGAAGAGGACAGATCTTGATTCGTTGGGCTATGGCGCCGGAGACGATCGAAGCGGCGGTCGCCACGAAGACCATCTGGAAGAACCAGTTCGACATGGCGGCGGGCCGCCGGCCACCACCCGGTAAACCGGTCGGCCGCCGCGTCCGCGTCCCACCGACAAGGGCGAACACTCCCGGCCGACCGGTCCGTGGAGGAGCTTGAACGAGCCGATGAGCTCTCCGAAGTCGACGCCGAAGAGGTGAGGTCTTCCCAACTTGAAGTACATGAGTTGTGTAGCAGCCACGAGAAAAGTAGGCGAAGAAAGAGGCGAGTCCGGCGATCGAGAGTAGGAAGTTAGTAGTAGATGCCGACGTTCTCAGGGCAGATAATCGAGGCGTTCTTTGGCGCACCGCGCCCGGATCGAGACATTCGTGAACACGGCGCACATCACCATCACAGCGAGCCCCAGACGAGGAACGCGGAAGGTGTGAGACGACGCGTCTCAGCGTCGACCCCCGCAGCCTTGTGCGACAGGCCGGCGGGCCAGGAACAGTCCGAGCGTCCGGAGCGCCAACCCCGCCGTCACGACGGCCGCGTTTGTGATGTCCCCAGACCAGGGACAGGCGGGTTTCAAACCCGCCCCTACGGCGGCGTTTTCGGTCACGGGGTGGGTGGCAGGGATGTCTGGAATGCGGGCGGGAAGACCGCGCCTCACAGTATGGATGGGTCCCGCCTGCGCGGGAAATGCCGAAGCGAGAGGGGCCGCTGCATAAGAGGGGCGCTGTGGGTTATTTTCATGGCAACAAGAGATGTTTCGTCCGACATTCCCCATATCAGACTGCGGGTGTCCAAAGAACCCGCCATCCTTCACGACGGTGATGGTAGGGGCATCCACGAACGCCGTCAACTATCCCATCGGGCTCACAAAACCATCTCTCGGTGCCGTGAATTAGCGTCCGCCAGGCAACGGAGGCAGCTTTCAGCACGTTTGCACACTCTTCAACTCATCCAGGCGCACAGCTCCCCCTTGGCTATCCTCGTCACCTCCGATGATCCCAAGGATACTCGCTACCCTGGTGCTGGATGGAGCCCGCCGATACGCTCCAGCACTTGTCGAAATACCTCCCGAGGCACTGCTACCTCGGCTAGCTGAAACACCAGCCGCCGGGCGTGGCGAACTAGCCTCCCCCCGATCTTGATAAGTTTGACCTGGAGGCTTCCCAACGACCAGTGCTTGACCGCCCTGGGCAGGCATAGCCTGCGCACCAAGTTCCCCAGGTTGTAGGTAGTGCGTTCCTTCAACAGTTTGTATTTGAAGGATATAGCGACCTCAGCCTGATGCGGGCATCCTCGGTGGTGAAGCGCCAGTTCACGCGCACCGCATCACGATTGCGGCTCTTCTGCCACGCTTCTACCTCGCCACGCAGGGTCTCCCTGTCCGGTATGCGACGCTCCAGGCACTGTCGAGCCAGCACTCCGATCTCTATCTCCGCCATATTCAGCCAACTCCCGTGTTTGGGTGTGTAGTGTATCTCCAGCCGCTCAGCTATACGCCTCGCCTCAGAAGGCTCGAACGCCTCGTATAGCGAGGACAGCTTGTGGGTGTTGAGATTGTCCATCACCAGCACGATCCGCTCTCTGTCAGGGTAGTCCTCATCGACCAGTCTCTTTATCACATGCGCCCAGTCCACCTTCGTGCGACGCTCTCTGACCTCGACTCGACGCCACCCGTCCAACGGGGCAAACAGCATGAACAGACTGCTCACTCCATTGCGCTCGTATTCGTAGTCGTAGGCCGACACCGCGCCGGGCGCTGCGGGACGCGGCACTCGCGTCTCCTTGACTTGCTGTTTGCTCGTCTCATCCATGCACACCAGAACCTCATTCCCATCATACGGCCGTTGGTAGACCTCCAGCACGTCTTCCATCGCGCACACAAACTCCGCGCTCTGACCGGGAGGGATGCACCAACTCTGCTTCAGCCACGGCTTGAGTTCGTTTTTTTAAGCACTTGGCGAACCGTCTCGGTGCTGATGGTCTCGACTATCTCACACTCGACCAACTGGTCAGCCAACAGCTTCAGGGTCCAACTGGCACGACCCTCCGGCGGTTCCCCGCAGGCCATCGCTATCAACCGGGCTTCGCGCTCGCCGTCCAGTCTCTTCTGACGGCGGCGCAGTTGCTTTTTGCGGTTCAACGCCGACTCGATGCCTTCCTCCACACAGCGCCGGCGCACCCGCTCGACCATTGACAGTCCCACACCGAGCGCGCCGGATATGTCTGCGTCCTTCATTCCTCCGTCTTCCCTCGCCTCGTCGCTCATCAGCAGGATGCGCGCATGCGTCTGCTTGTACGCGACGGTCCGACCACGGGAGACGAGCGCCTTGAGTTCCTGTTGTTCGTCCGTTGTCAGTCTGATACGGTACTTCTTGGTAGGCATGGTGATTCCTCCTCCATTCAATCGTATGATTGAACCTCTCGGAGGAATATGCCCTTTCAGACCTTCATTTCAACAATGTTCGACACACTAGGTAGTGTTGACATTTATATTATACTGAGTATATGTCAACAGTTACACTGTCTTCGGAACAATGGTCAAGGATACATGAGTTCCTTCAAGGTCAGACTGACTTGTACATTGGGAAGGAAGCCGAATGTAGACGGTTCATTGATGCTGTATTGTGGATTACTCGGACTGGTGCGCAATGGAGGATGCTCCCAGTCGAATATGGCAATTGGAACAGCGTCTACAAACGCTTCGCCCGATGGTGTGAACGCGGAGTATGGGAGCGTATGCACCAGTATTTCGTCGATGACCCCGACATGGAACACCTCATCATCGACAGCACGGTCGTGCGGGCCCATCCTTCCGCTGCGGGGGCGTCAAAAAAAACGGAGGACAAGCATCGCAAGCCCTCGGTCGCAGCCGAGGTGGGTTCAGCACAAAGGTCCATGTCGGTGTCGACGGACTCGGCAACCCGTTGAGATTCAGGTTGACCGGAGGGCAGGAGCACGATGTCACTCAGGCTGAGGAACTCATAGACGGACTCGATAGTGAGTATGTGGTCGCAGACCGAGCATACGACTCCAACCAGTTCATCGAGTCGATCATTAGGAGCGGTGCAGTTCCGGTGATACCTCCTCGCTCCAACCGGAAGGCGGCCCACTCATACGACGAGTATCTCTACCGGGAGCGTCATCTCGTCGAATGCTTCATTGGCAAGATCAAGCACTTCCGCCGCATCTTCTCCCGGTTCGACAAGTTGGCGAACAGATACCTCGGGTTCCTCCATTTCGTCGGTGCGCTCATATGGCTAAGATGAAATGTCAACACAACCTAGATAAAGGGAGAGTCTCGTGGGCTACGTAGTGAATGAGGACAGGCAAACCAGCAGTGCGCTAGTTCACGACGAATCGTGCGGGTGCTACGCCCAGCGCCAACTCGAGAACCCGCGAGACGGTGAATGGCTCGGGCCTTTCGAATCGAAGGACGAAGCTGTTGCGGAGGCCTCGGCTGCGGGCCACTCGGAAGTAAAAGCAGCAGACTGTTGTTTATCAGGAACAGGGATAATTGATAAAGCGAAAGGTATTGTCGACTCTGCCAAGGAGGGAGTTCGGAGGTCCGCCGAGGTGTTGTCTGGGGCAGACATTCGACGATTCGAGGAATTCACGGATGCCGTCACCACGGCGGTCATGGGCGTGCATCGGGACCAGACCGAACTGCGTGAACGGACCGCCGACGCCGAGAGGCTGATTGATGAGCAAAGGCGCGAACAGGAAGCTCTATCGCGCAGGCTTTCCCACCTTGAACGCTTAACGCAAACTCGCCCACAAGAGTCCAAGTTCTCCAGTCTATCTCCATGGGTAATCGCATTCGGGACAATTTCCGTCATGGCGCTGCTGTTGAGCGTCATCGCTGTAGTGATGGCCATTTCTTGATGAGCTACCAAGACCTCAAGGCCCTCGCAGAGTCATACCCGCTCCAAGAGCGAGAAGCGCTCATGGCCTTGGCTCAGGAATACCGCAGCCGCAATGAGCGGGAGATTTTGGAAATTGCCGCGATTGCCACAGACGTATCGCTCGATAGTGTCCTCAATCTGCGACTCGAGCCTGAAGCGAACCCGCAGTTCCTGGAGGCTTTCCGGCTCCAGTACCCGAATGTCGACATCGATTCGCTCAGCGGCGCGTCGGATGAACGTCTTAGTGGTCTGGCCAATGGAGTCAAGGGCAAGTACTTCGAGGTGCTCGTGCGCGATCGACTCAATGCCGGAGAGCAAGTAGGTGAGTTGGAGTTGGAGCCGGGGCAGGTCGCGCGTCTGGCCGAATCCTCAACACAGCCGGGATGGGATCTGCGAATTGAGAACGAAGATGGAACTGTAGACGAACTCCTCCAACTTAAAGCGACCGACTCCATGTCATATGTCAAGGAAGCCCTTGAACGGTACCCGGACATTACGGTAGTAACACCGACCGAAGTCGATGATGCTTCGGTCAACATCGTCGGTACGGACATTTCGGACGACCAGCTGGAGCTTCTCACCCGAACTCAGATGGATGAGATTGGTGAGAGTGTGGTAGTTGACCTCCTCAACAAGGGCGCTGAAATGGCCTTTGATTCCATCCCATTCGTGTCGATGGTTACTACGGGGGTCATCGAAGGACAAAATTACTTGACGGGGCGTTTTGCTTTGCGGGAGTCCCTGCGTCGAGGAGCAAAGCGCGTTGGGCAAGCTGCGGTATACGACGCCATAGGGACTACCTTGGGTCCAGTCGGCGTCCCCGTCGTAGTGAGCCTGCGGGCTGCACACATGAGGATAGCCAGCAGGATTGCCCTCGGCGACCACTTGGAATCACGAACCATGGAGATCAGGCTGCTGAACTTACGGTGCTAGCTTGCCTTGACAGAAGCATTGCGATTTCCTGAATCACAAATGAGACGAACGATGGGCAACACTTGACCCGCCCGCCCCGCAGCGAACAGTGCCTAACTGCTCTCGACAGACACTGCTGACGCAGGGAGTTTCCTAGGTTGGACGCCAGAACGAAGAATGACAGACTAACACCGTAGCCAACAAACCGGACGACAAGTCAACCGAGTTCAGATCAGCGCGTACTTGCCCTTGTTGAACCACCTATCTGGACAAAATTAAGAACCTTCATTCGCCGGACACAATAGACACAGAAACCTGAGATACTCGTGGGCGGTCGATTTGGGTTCGTTCAAGCGAGTTCGGATTGCTAGACAGTAGCGTGCCCCACAACAGCCTACCGGAGAGGTTGGGGCCGCTGGGAACGGGCGTGGCGCGCAACCCAGGAACCGGACCCTGCTACCCCGTCCGGATCCAAGCTGGCCCAACCCGGACGATCAAGTGGGCCTAGTAAGATTGAATTGCGAACCTTTAGGTGGGAGGTCTCGATATGAGGAAGGGGTCAGTCAACGCCTCATACACACTCACGAGCCTCCGGACCTGTTGCCCAATACAATCGACTCGACGGCCGGTTTGCCCGCTGTGTCAGGGAGCGAAAGCGCCGCGCAGGACTACCGGAACGTGAGCACTTCGGCAGGGTTGGAGACCAGGATGTCGTGGACACCCTCAGGAGTGAAGCCCCTGTACAGCATCCTGGGAGCTATGTGGTCCAGTATGTACGAGTAGCCGTGGCCGCCGTACTTCTCCAGACGGTGCTTCGTGCATATGTCGTGCGCCACGACGACTTTGCGGCCGTAGCCCTCGGACGATATCCAGGCGATGCGCTCAAGGCGCTGGTCGTCGCTCGGCATGTCGATGTTCGGTTCCGGGAGTAGTACGACCCGACCCAGCCGAACAGGTCCCACTCCATGTAGCAGCCCGACTCAGCGATCTGTTTGAGCGTACCGCGTTCGAAGACCGTCCTGTCGAGGTGGCCCATGATCGTATGCGACAGGTCGGCCCCGGCCCGATCCAGGATATCGATGATCTCAAGTGGCGCCGTCTCGTCCCGGCCGGGATGTATGAGCAGCGGCGCCCCGGTCATGCGCTGTGCGCGCGCCGATGCCCTCAGCACCTTCCGTTCGTTGTCCGTCAGGGGCCAGGCGCAGCCGACCTCGCCTATGATGCCGGACCTTATACCCGTCCCGTCGGCCCCCTTCGGTGATGTCCCCTACTATCAGGTCGACGATGTCGTCCTCTGTCAGGTCGTCCATCCCGGCGGGTGATGCGTGTTCACATAGTATGAAGCGCCCATCACGATATTCACGCCCGTGGCGTTGGAGACCCTGGCAAGGCCAATCGGGTCGCGGCCTATTCCGATGCTCGACGCCTCGACCAGCGTGCCCCCGCCATACTGCTTGAACAGCCCGACCTCTTCGATGGCCGTCTGGACGTCCTCCAGCCGCCCATTGTCTCGGTTCGCCTTTAACCGGTGCCGTATCTGCCGAGCATCTCCTGGGAGACCGGCTTCTCAAGAAGGCCTGGTCCGCTCGCGCTTGGAACCACGTTTTTGACCCAGGAGCCGTCGAATCAGGATGTGCTCGTGGGTAGCGTCCTGCCAAGTTGACCCGGGATCGACCGGCCCAGAGTACGGTCTGCACCCTCCCGGACAGGTCATTGCTGGTCATGGTTGCCCCCATACTCTCTGTTGGGCGACCGGATGTCGCCGGGGGCGCAGGGAGAGACCCCCTGTAGACCCCAAAGCGTTCGCTGGATGTCGTGGGGGCGCATGGACCCCCCTTGCAAGCGCACGGAGCATGTTTTGCAAATCGTTTGCATGGGCCTGTTTTCTGTCCAAACCTACTAATACCTCTAACCCCCACGGGGTCTTACCAATTGAACCACTTATGAGCTTGTTTGTTAGTAGAGCGCCAGACGAGGGAAGTGCAAACTCGTCAGGGGGCCTAGTGATGGTAGGTAGTACAGTCTTCGAGATGTGGCTGGGCTGTGAACCTACCGGAGCCCTCGGCTCAACCATTATGGTGCCGTAGGGCTGAGGGCGCAGACGCTCCATCCAGGATTGGGTTTCACCAGTCTCGCCGGGAGGAGCTCAGCTAACTCCAAGGGGGTGAATGGCGTGGCAAGGTTCAGGCCAAGATGTGGGTGGAAGCTGTCGCCTCGAATCGGGAAGGCGGCGTGTAGTCGCGGCGGTGCCCTCGCGCCCCGACCTTAGTCGCCGGTGTTGTCATTGCCTATCGGCTTGTACGTAACGGGATGAAGTGCAGGACGGCAACCACTATGAAGGCCAGTGCGGTCAGATAAGCGCCTATCCCGAGCAGCGCTATGCCGGCTTCCCGCGCTTCTGCAGAGTCGGTGCCTGGGCGATGTCTACGCCATCGCGAGATGTCACCACCAGCCCAGCGATACCCACGATGATGGGCACCACCCGGGCAGGACCACTGACGCCAGGCTCAACCCAGCTACTTCCCCCTTAACGTGAGTCGAGATTCCGTCGGCGCGAGCTAGTTCGCGATCTCGCGTCGGGACCCTACGCGCCTCGTGTGGCTACGTGCGGCGGCCAGGAGCGCTACGAGTACGCGAGTGCGGCAGGTGGACCCAGGCGCCGTCAGGTCGGTGCCGCGCAGCATGATCTCGCGCAGGGCATCGACGGCGTACGTGAGGGGAAGCACGACCGAGATCCACTCGAAGAGCGTGGGCATCTGCTCGACGGGGATTATGACCCCGGACAGGAATATCTGCGGCGCGAGGACGATCGGGATGAACTGGATAACCTGGAACTCGTTGTTGGCAAAGCTGGATATGAATATGCCCAGGCTGACGGCGACGGTGACCACCAGGAAGAGTATCGCTCCGATCTCCCAGAGGGTCCGACGTCTCGATGCGGAGGGCGAAGATGGTAAATGCAAGAATGACGGCAGTCTGCACGATGGCGAAGATGAGGAAGCCGATCATGTAGCCGAGCATGATGTCGAAGCTGCCCACGAGCGTGGTCTGGAGGCGTTCGAGCGTTCCCTGCGCGCGCTCCCGCAGGAATCCGACGCCGGTCAGGATAAAGGTGAAGAACATCACGAATACCGCGAGCAGGCCGGGGGCGACACGGTCGAGCACGGCGCGCTGCTCGTACAGGCTGAAGCCAACGAGCGACATGACTATGAGCGGGCCCACTATGAGCAGCCCGATGGAGCGTCTGTCGCGCAGTATCTGACGGATGATCCGCTCGGTGATGGCGAGTACTCTGTCGGTCGACATCAGTCGTTCGACCTGCGGAGAAAGTGCATGAACGCGTCCTCGAGGGTGGCGTCGGGTTTCCGCGTCGCCGCGCGGAGGGCCGAGGGAGTGTCGAGGGCGATCACTCTCCCGTCTCTGAGAAACCGCGAGAGGCGGAGGCGTTCGATGTGTGCGGCGTCATCACATCGTGTGACTCGAAATCATGATGGTCGCGCCGACTCGGCCATCGCCTGAATCGTTCCCAGAGAAGACGGCCGGACATCGGGTCGAGTCCGACCGATGGGTTCGTCGAGAATCAACAGACCACGTGACGGTGGACGATGGGCTATCGCGCGGCGGACCCGCGTCGCCATGCCCCCACTGAGTTTGCGAATCGGTCGAGCTTCGTGGACCAGGTCCACGAGAGCGAGAGCGCTCTTCGACTGATCGGGCAACGTGACTGGCGTCGACATGCCGTACACTCCTTGCGAAGAAGTCGACGTTTTCCCTCACCGACAGCTCCAGATAGAGTGCGCTGACCTGGGGCATGTAGCCGACCATTGCCGCCTGGCGGGGCGATGGGGACTCGCCGTGAATGGTGATTGTCCCGCCGTCGCTACGGAGCAGGCCGACCATCACCCTCATGAGAGTCGTCTTGCCGGAGCCGTTTGCTCCGAGCACCCCGAATATCTCCCCTTCCGACACGGAAAGCGAGAGGCCGTTCAATACCTGATTGTGCCGTAGCTGAACGTGAGGTCACTAGCTTCGACTACGGCGGCGGCTTGCGTCATAGGAGTGTGGATGCCCTACTGAGTGTGCCGTACAGATGTCACGTGCTTGGTGCGCAAAGGTACCACAGCACAAATCCCTATGGACAGCCCGCACATCCCGACGACGCTCGTTTCCAAAAGGCTCTATTACCGTCTCGTCACACCCTGTGAGTGTTCACTCCGGTACGCGCACAGGGACAGACGAGGACAACTCTCACTCCCGACTCGATACCCTACCGACGCTGCATCCCCGACCGTCGCTCTTTATTCCTTTGGCTTCGCTGGTACCATGTTGCCCCGATTGCCAGACCCGTAAGGAGTAGCCGATGACCGAGTCGACCGACCTGCTGAATATCCGTCCATTGCGACGGCGTTTGAAGGAGGGCAAGGAGGCGCTCGGCATGTGGCTGGGGATAACCGATCCCCTGGCTGTGGAGGCCATCGCCGCGGACTGCGACTTGGACTGGATACTCCTCGACATGGAGCACGGCGGCGCGGGCTGGGAAGACCTCAAGATGGTGATGCTGGGCTGGAAGTGGTCGGATGTGCCGATCTTCATCCGTCCTCCGTCGCACGACCAGAAGTTCCTGATGGCGGCGCTCGACCTTGGGGTGAGCGGGTTCGTGTGCGTATGTCACTTCGGCCGTAGGACGCGCGAGCGGGTTGCGGAGGCCTGCGGTCCCGCCGATGGGCATCGGGGCAGCGCGCCGCGCCGGTCAGCGCCACTACACGACTCAACCGACGAGTACACGGCCAGCGCCGACGATGACGTGTTCGTGATGGTGCAGATCGAGCATAAGAACGCCGTGGAGAGCGTCGAGGAGATCGCCGCCGTCCCCGGCATAGACGCGCTCTTCATCGGCCCCGGCGACCTGAGTTATTCGTATAGGCTGCCGTTCCAGTTCGATCACCCGACCATTACGGGCGCAATCCAGAAGGTCGTTGACACGGGCAGGGCCAAGGCCCTCCTGTCGCCATGGCGGTCGACAGCACGCCGGAAGAGGTGCTTCAGCGCATCGAGCAGGCATCCAGCTCGTCACGGTGGGCCTCGACTGGATGTTCATGCGCAACGCATCAAGGACAGCACGGCCGCGGTGCGGGCGCTGCTGTAGCGGAGCGGGTTAGCGGGCGTCTTCTCCCGCTCATGACGGTGGCCTCTTCCGCACATCACGCTTCGCTGTATATTCGACCTGCCATGCCGAACACGTCTAACTATGGTGACAACCGCCCGTACTACGGAGACTATCTGCTGCCGACGAGTCGTGGACCTCATCGAACCCTCGATCGCCCTTCAACTCCACGGCCTCCTACAACGTCCTGTTCAGAGCAGTCCGGCGAGCGGTCCGCAGAGCGCAGATAACAACGCCTTTGAGGACCCGTGCGTCTGGGATGGGAGTCGGAGACGCATATGGGGAAGTGGTCAGGGCAGGACGCGCAGCCGCTCAGCAGATGGTCCAGGCATGTTTGAGTTTTCTTCTGGGGACGGAACGACCTGATGGCCTACTGGTGATGATGCGCAGCGAAGGATGACTCGAGTTGCGCGCCGCGTCTCAAGCCTACGGGCAGCATCTACCTGCATTGGCGATCCGACTGTCGAGCGCACTCCCTCAAGCTGCGGATGGACGCGCGACGTGTCGGAGCAGAACATCCTGTAACGAGAGTCATTTGGTACTAACCGTGGCACCAGGAATTCCCAAGGGATCCCGCGCAAGACGTCACGACGTCATCTTGTGGTATGCAAAGGAGACCGAACGCCACTACTTCAACCCCGATCCTATTCGACAGCCTTATGCAGAGGCGACTGTAGAACGGTTCGACCATTACATAGGAAATGTTCGAGGTGATCGCGACTATGGACGGCAGCAGCTCAATCCAATGGGCAAACACCCGGATGACGTCTTAACCCACATACAGCCGATCGCGCCTTCGCCAAAGGAACGGCTCGGCTATCCCACACAGAAGCCCGAACCGCTCTTGGAGAATCTTATTAGTTCGGGGAGTAAAGAGGGTGACGTGGTGCTTGACCCCTTCTGCGGGTGCGGCACCGCGGTCGCAGCCGCCGAACGCCTAAACCGTAGGTGGATTGGCATTGATATCACGCATCTTGCCGTAACCTTGATACGCCACCGGCTGCGTGACGCCTTCGGCGACAACCTGCAGCCTTACGACGTGATGGGAGAACCACAAGACGTGGCAAGCGCTGCTGCCCTTGCGCGTGAAGATCGTTACCAGTTCGAATGGTGGGCGCTGGGACTCGTGGATGCGAGACCAGCCCAGGACAAGCGTAAGGGGGCCGACTCGGGCATAGACGGTTACATCAATTTCTTGACGAAAGCCGAAAGAGCAAGAGTGTCATCGTGCAGGTTCAAAAGGCGGCAACGGGGCGTGTCCCAGTCAGGACTTGAAAGGTGTGCTTGAAAGAGAAAAGCTCCTATCGGTTGTGTTATAACCCCTGAAGGACCCGACAGGCCCGATGACTCCGCGAGGCCGTCTCAGCGGCGGAGCTCTATGAACCGCAACTCTACCCCGAGCATCAGTTCGTAGGCAGCTCATCACAACATCGAAGGAGCTCTGGGACGCCGGACGGGCCTCAGTACACGCGGCTTCGCGCCACGAAGCGCGACGTAGCGACGCTCAGCCGCGAGCCACAGCGATGGCCGCCAAACGAGCATCAGCGACAAGCCGGTTAGCGCTCATCTGCATCATCTCCCGTCTGGGACGAAGAACCACGTGGCAAGCGCCCGATACCGAATCCCGGCAAGCGCGGCTTGCAACAGCCCTACCAGCGTACCCTACGCTTGACGTTCCCAGGCACAGCCCACGATCGCCGGGAAGAGTACGAGAGGAAGACGGCTCGCGTCCTGAGCCGTCGGGGCGCAGATTAGAACCGTTGCTCGTGAAGAGGGCGTGTGTCCCCGTCGACATTACGCAAAGGTAGGTCGCGGGGCATTAGCCACTTCCGGCACGGCGCTGCAGAAGAAGGCCCCTTCAACACGCTCGGACTGAACAAGAACAAAGGAGGACGGAATGGTCCAAGAAGCACGAGATCAAATCTTCGAGACGGACGGACGAGCACTCGCGCGTCTACCTGTACGAGCGCGATGGGTAGCCAGGCAGTACGTCGAGACCATCGACACGAGGTGCTGCGGACCTGGGCGTGGACACGATCAGCTACGTCGTGGGGACTGCGCGGGACTGCTGTACGACACGAACGTCGGGGAGATCTGGGGTCACAACTCGACATCATCAACCACGAGGCGTGTGGTACAAGGCCGCGTTCACTGCAGATGATGATCGAGAGCGGCCACGACCGCCTTCAGGTGTCTGCGACCACGCACGAGCGCGGTTTTCAATTTCTTGCGCCACCTGCTGCTTAACATGGCCTACACGCTCCTCGAGCCGCGTCACGAAACGGCGCCGTCGCACACCACAACACCCTCCACCCGGAGATGATCGTGGGCGAGGAGACCGATACCCGAGGCCGTTCACGACAACCCGAACGCGATTTCATACGCCGTACCGGAGATTCGCGAGAACCGGCTCTGGCAATCGTCCGGGAGCTGGTGACCGACTATCCGAGGACGGCATCGACCTGACTTCAACACCTACAGCCCTGATAGCCCGCCGCGAGGTGGAGGAGCACACGGAGACGTGACCGAGTGGATGCGGGATGTTCGCCGAGCGGCAGACGCGGCCGCGGAGGCGCAGGGGCGCAGCAGCGAGTTGTCGTTCGCATTGGCCGCCACCGTGGAGGCAACAAGAAGATGGGGCAAGACATCGAGGCGTGGGTAGGCGAGGGACTGGTGGACACGATTGTCGCCAGCTGTCGGGCGGGGACTTCTCAGCGAGACGTCCCGCTGCGCGGCTGGTCGAGGTGGCCGCAGGGAACACGCGTGCTCCGTCTCGCGGGCATGACTCCGTCGGCACCGACCGACACGGCGTGACGCATAGCGGCGACGTCATGCCTCTGACGCCGGATGTGACAGGGCGTTCAGTATCCGACCGCTCTATACCAGCCCCGCACCGGTATCCGTACAACACGAGGATACCGACCGCATGAGGCTGGCGGCCTACACCGATGCTCCTGGCCACAAGGACAAACGACTCTACGTCGGGCCCGCTTCGACCGCCGCGACGCCCATTTCGTTCGGACTCACGGACACAGACTCCCGCACGAGCTCACGGCCACAGGCGAGAGCAAGGCCCGACATCATATCGACGTGTCGACGACATCGCCGCGAAGGATGAGCGGGCGAGCTGTGCGGTGCGAGCTTCGATCATGCTCATGAGCTGGTACATCACGACGAATATCGGTGTACTGGAACTGCGAGGAGGTGCCGGAGAGCAAGATACGCAAGGCGGACTGGGTGTTCCAGATGCGTCCGAGCGCGGGGGTGCGGGGCTATCGACTGCACATCGACCTGCGAAACGTCTCGCTGCGCGATCAAGACGAACACCGTGCGCGTCGACCTCATCACCAAGGACGAGCAGCTCGTCGATCCCGTCAGCATCCACGACATCGACATCGTGGTCGAGTACCTGCCGCACCGGAACGCGCTCCGCGACGAGGAGTCGTACGCGGGGGCGTCGATACCGTTCACGCCGTAGGGGCGGATCGGCGAGGGGAATTGAAAACGCAGGAACAAACTTGGCGATAACATGAACTACCTTTATGATAATTTGGTAGGCGTTGTCGGGCTAATCGCGACAGTGATCGGACTGGGAATAGCAATTTGGCAGATCATCGGTGCAAGAAGGGCAGCTGAATCGGCAGAAAATCGGCCATCGGCCGCCCGGAGGGCAAGCGTTGAAACGCGAGAGGCGATTCACGGCGTATTGACGGTTTCGGACCTGCAACGGGTCATAGGGTATGTTCAGCAGATCAAGAGCTTTCACAGAGAGCAGAAGTGGGACATTTGCTTGAACATGTACCGCTGCTGCGGTCGTCTATACGAGGATTCCCGTGCTTGCTGCCTGAGCCTGCGGCGACAATATAGGCTGGTCTTGCGAGAAGCGATTGACCAGGTGAAGGCTATAGAGAACACTCCGACCGTCGCGGTTCGCTCGGGTCGGAATTTGCGGCGTCCGAGGACTTCAATAGAATTCTAAACGAAGTGCAGGCTAAGCTCGTGAAGGAAATGTCAGCAAGTTCAGGTGCAGGAAGGGCGAGGTGAGTACACAAGACCAGATGAAGAGATCCTGAGAAGCTCAAACAGCTGTCAAACGAAGGAAAGAGTACCTGGCGCCCCACCGTAATCGGGTCGAAGTTTTCCGCAGTGTTTGGCGACTCCTCGGCCCTGATCTCGAAAGGGGGATTCATTTATACTCTCATGCTTCTGAATGAGTCGGGCAATGAAATTGGACGTATAGATTCAGACGCTCGGCGGACGATCGAATGGAGACATACAGACATGATCTCACTCTCGAGTCGCCCAGCGGCAAGCTGACGTAGGACGCGGACATCGAAAAAGTCCTAGTCGAACTGAACCACTTTAGTCGCGCGGCCCCTTCGAATGCAACTCAAGATCACCGAACAGCAGAACAAGGGCTCTTCGCGACGGCACGTTGAAGGAGCACGAGCGGCGCATCGCGCGGCTCCGGAGGAGATGGACCAGCGAGGGTGCGTGGACGGGCTGTACTGCCGCAGAGACGCGAACGTCCGGTACGCCAGCGCGACCAGGCACGACGTGGCGTGGGTGATACACGCCTACTTTCTACACGTCTTTTCATCCCGCGTGACGACACGCTCCCGTCGGCGCTGTTCGTGCCGAACGGCGGTCAGATCCAGACGCAGGCAAGCTGGATCGGACACGGTCGTATTTCGCTGGGACTTCCCGCCCGGTTCTACATGGCAGGTCGGAGACTCGTGATCCGAGTCGTTCGCCGAGTGCGTGCGAACGCTGGGACTCGAAAACAAAAGGCGACCGATCGCGCCCGAGATGATGCGCACATTTCCGGCTCGGCCTGTCCGTCGACGTGCTCGACGGCCTGCGAGACGCCCTTCCGGACGTGACGTGGCAGGACTGCGGCCCAGTAGTGTGGCCCGTGCGGTCGATCAAGTCGGACGAGGAGGTGCGGCGTCTGCGGGAGTCGGTCAGGATATCGTGTCTCGGCATCGAGGCGGGGTTCGAGGCGCTCCGAGAGGGCATGTCCGAGCGGGAGCTCGTGAACGTGATGTGCGCCAAGATGTTCGAGGAGGGCGGCAGCGAGATCAAGTTCACCTCGCTGTACGCGGGCCTGACCGCGCGCTGTGGGCCGACGCGACGCCACGCCGCGAGATGAAGATCAATCACCCCGGAGCCTGGTCCAGTTCGACGGCGGCTGCACGTATGACGGGTACTACACCGACATCAAGCGGTTCGCCAGCCTGGGCGAGCCGACCGAAGACCAGCGCGGTTCTACGACATCGCCCGGGATGCGGAGCAGGCCGCCATCGACGCCGTGAAGCCCGGCGTCCGTGACCTACGGTGAGGTGTATGAGGCGTCACAGCGGCCATAGCGGACGCAGGATACCCGGAGTTGTCGAGGGCAGGCCCAGTCGTTTCGGTGGACGAGCATCGGCCACAACATCGGGCTCGACCTCCACGAGATGCCGGGCATCGCCAAGGACAACGCCGCAGTGCTCCAGCCCAATCAGGTAATCTGCGTCGAGCCGTTCTTCTTCCACGACGGCGGCTTTCCGGTCTGGACCGTCCCGAACAAGTACGGATGCGAGGACCAGGTGCTCGTCACGGAGACGGCCACGAGGTGCTCTCGTCGGACGATCTGGTGAGCCGGGATATCTGGGTGGTGTGAGGGATGAGGGAGGTTCTCGTTGAAACACCCTATACACCTTGGTAATAGCACCCACGACTGGGAGACCTTTCTCGGTCTGCTGACACTGCACGGGGTCGATGTCGTCGTGGATACAAGAAGCGCGCCCGCCAGCAGGCGAGCGGCGTTCGCCAACAAGCGCACGATGCCGGCGCTCCTGGAACAAGAGGATATGTCCTACGTCTACCTCGGCGACTCCTTGGGCGGCAAGCGGTCCGACGACGACCTCTACGGGCTGGACGGCAAGCCGGACTACCGCAAGATGCGGTCGCAGCAGAGCTTTCAGCAAGGGATCGACGACCGTCTCGAACTTGCGAGGAGGAGGAAACGGTCTGTCCCATGGATCGGAGGAAGACCCCTCGAAGTGCCACCGGCGTTTGCTTATCGAGCCTGCGATGCTTCAGCGCGGCGTTGGGCTGATGCATATCAGGGGGACGGATCGGTCCAGCACTCGGATAGCCTTTCGAATAACAAGGCGTTTGCAAGACAGTCGCAGACGATGTTGCCGCTGTAGGGCAAAACCCTTCGCGGATTTAGCTTATTTGATCACTGCTGTCACCACGAGACCGGGCAATCGCGGAGGCATGAACTAGAATGCTCTACCGGTCCTCCAAGAACGTTAGGGGCGGCTGCGCTGGCCGCGCTGCTTGCGCTGGCCGTTTTCGCCTGCGCTCCGGGGCGAGACACTCCTTTGATTTCGTCCGAGGAGTTCGGCACTCCGACACCTGTGCCGACACCTACGGCGACCCGGGCTCCCAGAAGAGGCGGGTCGAGATCGCCGGACGGCGCACCAGCGACGCGCAGATACGGCGCTCGACGTGGTGGGCAAAGACATCATCAAGATCGCAACTGGAAAGAGGGCGTCCGGCCATGCTCAACACCCTCCTCGGATCCTTAATGGTATGGCGGGGCGCTAACGACTACAAGGCCAGACGCGCGTGAGAGGGAGCAGGCGACAGACCGGGACGCCAGAGCGAGAAGAGCGAGGTGGACCTCGGCGATCTACAGTCCGAGCAAACCGCAAGATGCAGGACGGCCATAACGCCTCGTGCTGAGTCCGTCGTCGAAAGCGAAACGGGGCGGTGATGAGGGCGGCAGCCGATCGCGGGAAACCTAGCGAGACCGTTTACGGATCGCCGTACACCCCACCATGTGTCCGCACGGGCGCGCGGACACTGGTGAGCTTCTCGCCACCGCAAACTTGCCGCGCGAGGCTTCGCGCAAATCGCCGGCATTGTCGGTTCGGCGTGTCGGCGTGACACCGAGCGCAGGGGCGTTCAAGTACCTGAAGGAGCAGAGCGCGGTCTGGAATTCGTGGGTCTCGGAGGAGGAGGCGTCGAAGGTCCAGGCTGCCATCGATGCGAGCAAGACGTCGCTCCGCAACCGGACCGTGTATTCCGCGCGGCGTCGAGGCGAACGACTGCGGGCGGAACTAGCGTTGCGTCGGCTGTAGGCAGGCGTAATCCAAACGATGCCTCACACCACTGGATATACCGCCCGCACTCGTATCGCCCGTACGAGACCAGCTCTCAAAGAGGAAAACGTGTATGACGTTGTGGAGAGACTTCCAGTCGGATACGCAGCGTTCGACAGGGCTCAGTTTTACGCAGCCTCGACAGGCTCAGTGAAAGCGCAGTGAAAGCCTTTTCGCATTGAGCGAGCGGATTCGGCTTTCGCGGCGATTGACAGGTTTGTTCGTTTCGCAACCCTTGCAAGCGAGTCGAGGAACCGGAGCGGCTCAAGGGGTTCTTTTTCCGGTCAAAGGTCGGTCGCTCCGCATAGTTAGGAACACTTTGAGGGAGGTGAATCGTGAAAGTCCCAGTGGACATAACGGTCAATGGGCGCACGTACAGCGATGAGGTCGAGCCGCGACAGTTGCTCGTTCACTTCATTCGCGAGAACGCCGCGCTCACAGGTACCAAGGTCGGGTGCGACACGAGTCAGTGCGGGTCTTGCACCGTCACGATGGACAGGGTCAGCGTCAAGTCGTGTACGACGCTGACGGTACAGGCTAACGGCTCGTCGATCACGACGATAGAAGGGCTGTCGGACGGTGTTGATCTACATCCCCTGCAGGAGGCCTTCTGGAATAATCATGGGCTCCAATGCGGGTTCTGCACTCCGGGAATGATCATGGCGGCGAGCGAGTTGCTGCGCATCAACCCGGACCCTTCGCGAGAAGAAATCCGGGAAGGGCTGGAGGGCAACCTCTGCCGATGCACCGGAAATCAAAACATCGTGCTGGCCGTCGAAGACGCAGCACGAACGATGGGAGGCTAGACCATGACGACACGAATGTTCGGTTCAGGAATTCGTCGTCGTGAGGACCCCCCGGCTCATTACGGGCCGCGCCTCGTACACGGACGACATCACGCTTCCGGGCATGGCGTACGCGGCGATTCTTCGGAGTCCTTACGCTCATGCGAACATCACAAGTATCGACCCGAGCGAGGCGAAGTGCCAGCCGGGCGTTATCGCCGTCTACACCGGCAAGGACATCGAGGGTCATCTGAACCCGATTCCCTGCGCGTGGCTCATCCCCGACTCCAACCTGATCACGCCGGACCATCCGGCCATCGCGAAGGACAAGGTCCGGTACGTGGGCGACGCCGTAGCGGTGGTGGTGGCCGAGAGCCGGTATCAGGCGGAGGACGCGCTCGAACACATCGACGTGGACTACGAGCCGCTCGACGCTACGATCAACCCGAAGGCGTCCACGCAAGACGGCGCGCCGCAGGTCCACGATGACGTGCCGAACAACATCGCGTTCAAGTGGACGGTCGCGGGCGGAGAGATCGACGAAGCGTTCGAGAAGGCGGACGTGGTCGTTCGGGACACGATCAACCTTCAGCGGCTGATCCCGAACGCCATGGAACCGCGCTCGGCAATCGCCCAATACGTCGCGCCGACCGGCAAACTTACATTGTGGGGGACGTCGCAGAACCCGCACATCGCGCGATTCCTCTCCTCGGTGGTGACCGGCGTCGGCGAGCACAAGGTCAGGGTGATCGCGCCGGAGGTCGGCGGCGGGTTCGGGAGCAAGATCCCCTACTATGCCGACGAGGCGATCACGTCGTTCTGCGCGATGCAACTCGGCGTTCCCGTCAGTGGACGGAGACGAGAAGCGAGAATTACCAGGCGACTATCCACGGCCGCGATCACGTCGAAGAGATCGAGATGGCGGCCACGAATGACGGCGATATCCTGGGTCTACGGACTACGGTCTACGCCGGACTCGGCGCGTACCTGTCGACGGCGGCGCCCGGAGTCCCGACGATTCTTCACGGCCTGATGTACTCGGGCGCATACCACATCCCGGCCGTATACGGGGACATATATGGCGTATTCACGAACGCGACCCCCGTCGACGCCTATCGCGGGGCCGGAAGGCCGGAGGCGACGACACTGGTCGAGCGCCTGGTGGACCTGGTTGCCGCAGCGACGGGGATCGACCCGTTGGAGTTCCGGCGACGCAACCTGATCGAAGCGTTCGAGGAGAACCAGGACGTTTCGACCGGCATCACGTACGACAGCGGCAACTACGAGGTCGCTCTCGACAAGGCGGCCAACCACATCGGGTACGACGCTCTGCGCGAGAAGCAGGCAGCGATGCGAGCGGAGGGCCGGCACATTGGTATCGGCGTCTGCTCCTACGTGGAGATATTGCTTGGTCCATCGAAGGTGCGGAGCGGTTAGGCTTCCAGGGCGGCCTGTGGGAGAGCGCCATCGTGCGGTTCCACCCGACCGGCAAGGTGAACGTGATGATCGGCTCCTCGCCGCACGGTAGAGAGAGGAGACGACCTCGCCAGATCTCGCGGGGGAAGCTCGGCGTCCCTGTGGACGACGTGGACGTGATCCACGGCGACACGGACAATACGCCGATGGGCTGGGGCACGTACGGCAGCCGGACGACGGCGGTATCGGGCGCCGCGATAGCGATAGCCAGCCGCAAGATCAAGGACAAGGCAAAGACGCTGGCGGCCCACCTGCTGGAGGCGGACGCCGCGACATCGAGTACGAGACGGCAAGTTCTTCGTCAAAGGCTCGCCGGACGAGCACAAGACGATCCAGGATATCGCGCTGATGGCGAACGTGGCATGGGACATGCCGGAGGGCATGGAGCCGGGCCTCGAGGCCAGCGCGTTCTACGATCCTCCGAACTTCACGTTCCCGTTCGGGACTCACATCGCGGTCGTCGAGCTCGATCCGACGACGGGGCACATCGAGTTGAAGAAGTACGTCGCGGTGGACGATTGCGGCGTGCAGATCAACCCGATGATCGTCGAGGGGCAGGTACATGGTGGCGTCGTGCAGGGCACCGGGCCGGGCTGTTGTGGGAAGGCGCGGTGTACGACGAGGACGGCCAGCTGCTCACAGGCTCGCTGCTCGACTACGCGATGCCACGGGCAGACAACTTCCCGATACTCGACTCGATGCTCCGTCACGGACGACCGCGTCGCACGCACAAACCCGCTGAGGTGAAGGAGGGCACGGCGAGGCGGGGACGATCGCCTCGACCGCGGCGGTGTACAACGCGGCCATGGACGTGCTGAGGCCTCTGGGCGTCAACACCATAGACATGCCGCTGACGCCGGCAAAGGTCTGGCAGGCGATCAAGCAAGCACAGAACGGAGGGTAGGCCATGTACGCAACAGCAGACGAATACCACGAGCCGGCTGTACAAGAAGCGTAATTCACTCATCGCCGGGAACGGAGGACGCAAAGCTGTGTGTGACTGGCGGGCGGGCCACACGCCTGACTCCCGACGGATGTGAAATGGCTCGATGGCCTCTCAGGCGTGAGGCTGTCGTGTAGACATCGGCCACCTGGGAGAGCTCAGCAGCGGAGTGACCTGCAGCGACGGGACGATCACGATCCTCGTCGCTGACTGGGACCCACTGGCCAGCACCATCGCCTCGTCGGACATCTGAAGAGCGATGTCCGACGGATGTGAGGACGAGGTGAGGCGGAGCTATGATCGGGGACCCGGCCGTTCGCAATCGCGGCACGATCGGAGGCAACCTCGCCCACTCCGACCCGGCCTCAGACCTGCCGACGGTGCTCGCGGCGCTTGGCGCGAGCATCAACATCGTCGGGCCGCGCCAGAAGCGAGTGCGTCTCCGGCTTCGTCCAGGGGCTGATGCAGAACAATCTCGCTTCCGACGAGATCATCACGAGCATTGAGGTCAGCGCCAAGCAGGCCAACCAGGGAATGGCGTATGCGAAGTTCTCGCACCCGGCATCCCGGTACGCCGTCGTGGGCGCTGCCGCATCGGTCACCGTAGAGGGTGGCACGGTCACGGCGGCCAGCGTTGCGGTTGGCGGCGTCGAGGCTGCTCCGACCATGGGCAGTTCCGTCGCGGCACTGTCTGTCGCAAGAGCGACGGACGCATGCGCGCGACGATGCGCGCGCAGCATCATGCAGCGACATCGGGGACGACGTGCTGAGCGACATCTTCGCCTCGGAGGACTACCGCAAGGCGATGGCCGTCGTGTACACGCGACCGCGCATGGGGCTGCTCGCGGTGGACCGTGAGCGGGCTAGGCGACCGCTCGCCACCGAATAAGGGCTCCAACAGCCGGCGGGTACCTCGCCCCCGGTGTTTGAGCAGCCGACACGCAACCGGAGAGGAACCTTGACCCAGACCGATCTGAACGTGACCGTACCAACCTCGGTCGACGATCTCCAGAAGGCCCTGCAGGAGAACCTGTACGTCGCAGACCGCAGCTTGGCGATATCGATCTACCTGGCGCTGACGAAGCTACAGGCACGTCGCTGTTACTAGGAGGGCGAGCGGGGACTTGTGGGCAAGACCGAGATCGCCAAGGTGGCGCCGCGCGCTCGACACGCGAGCTGATCGCAGCAGGCTACGCGGGTCTGGACCCAAGTCACACAGGCGGTGTACGAGTGATGGACTACTCTGCCAGGCCCAGCTCCTCGAGATCCGGATGCTGGAAGCATCCGACCGATTCAACGAAGGCGAGGCGGAGCAGGAGCTGTTCAGCGAGAAATTCCTGATAAAGCGACCGCTGCTCCAGGCCATCGAATCGAGCGGTGACCGGCCGCGTGCTGCTGATCGACGAGCTCGACCGCGCGGACGAGGAGTTCGAGGGATTCCTGCTGGAATTGCTCTCCGACTTTCAGATAACGATCCCTGAGATCGGCACGTTCCGCGCCGAGAATCCTCCTGTCGTCATTATCACGTCCAACCGGACGCGCGAGATCCACGACGCCCTGAAGCGGCGCTGCCTGTACTATTGGATCGACTATCCGGACTTCCAAAGGGAGGTGCAGATCGTCACGAGCAAGGCCCCGGACGCTCCGAGGAAGCTGGCCGAGCAGGTCACGGCATTCGTGCAGGAGCTTCGCACGGCCGAGCTCTTCAAGGTGCCCGGCGTGGCGGAGACGCTCGACTGGACGGCGGCGCTCGTGGGACTGGACCAGACCGAGCTCGACCCCTCGGTGATCGACGACACGCTCGGCATCATGCTCAAGTACCGTGAGGACGTGGAGGCGGTGCGCGGGGAGCAGACGCGGGCGCTGCTGAACCAAGCAATGAACCGGGGTGCGCGACGTGGCGGCAGGCGTGGCTGACACGCAGGGCGGCCACATCCTCCATAATCTGCTGCTGTTCGGGCGGCTTCTCCGTCGCTTGGGTCTGGACGTCCACGTCGGGCGGATGCTCGACGCGGTGGCTGTCATCGACGACATCGGTCTCGCCAAGAAAGGCGACTTTCGCGCCACGCTCCGAACGCTACTCGTTCACCGGAAGGACGATTTAGCCCTGTTCGACGAGGCGTTCGACGTCTTCTGGCGGCAGCCGAAGGACCCGCAGACGACGATGGACCTGCGTTCGATGGGTGAGCAGCGCCGGTTCCGTCAGCCGCAGGTGGGGCCTCCTACCCGGCTCGTCTACGAACGGACAGGACGGGGCTGAAGACGAATCCGACGAGGATATCGACAGGATCGACCTGACCCGCACCTTCAGCGCGCGGGAGGTGCCTGCGCAAGAAGAGCTTCGCGGACTACACGCCGGATGAGTTTGCTCGCGCCAGGGCGATGATCGAGGAGCTGCAGTGGAACCTGGGACGACGCCGAACCCGCCGCTGGGGACGCGGAGACGGCAGGCATCTCGATCTCAGACGGGCACTGAGAAGCAGCCTTCGATATGGTGGAGAGCCGATGGTACTCCCCACGAAGCGGCGAAAGACGACACCGCGCAGGCTGGTGCTGATCTGTGACGTGAGCGGCTCGATGGAGCGGTACACGCGGATACTCTTGCAGTTCATACACACGCTGTACGGCGGTCTGGACAACCGGGTGGAGGCGTTCCTGTTCGCCACGAGGCTGACCCGCGTGACGGGCCATCTCGACTATCGTGACATCGACCGCGCGGTGGGCGAGGTCTCGAAGGCGGTGCCCGACTGGTCGGGCGGGACGCGCATAGGGGATATTCTGAAGACGTTCAACTTCCGGTGGGCACGGCGTGTTCTCGGATGGGGGTCCGTGGTGCTGGTTATCTCAGACGGCTGGGATAGGGGCGAGCCAGATCTGTTCGGCCGGGAGATGGCCCGTCTTCAGCGAAGCAGCCACCGGCTCATATGGCTCAACCCTCTCGCGGGCGCGGAGAACTACGAGCCGCTGACGCGCGGTATGCGGGCGGCGATGCCTTATATCGACGACTTGCTGCCCATCCACAACCTGGCGAGCCTGGAAGACCTCGCGCGACACCTCAACACGCTGCCCGGCAGCCGCCCGGAGAGGAGGCAGCGCATCGTCCCGCCGGAGATAGAGGACGATGTACCGGCGCCCGCGCGTGTACGGGGATCATCAAGGCACAGGACCGCAAATCCGACGTTCAGGCACCCGCTGTGGGGGCGGGACGGCTGAGGCTAGGTCTTCGGAGGCACGAGGGTTTCGACTATCGGTGCTCGCGGGTTAGTTGCTCGTTGTCCCATGTGACAAGGGGGAAGTTCATAAGCAGGGCCAAGGCGACATACACGGCATCCGCGCCTCTGAGCCGCATACCTGCCGCGACAGATGCGCTGACATCAGCTAATTCCCTGTCGATAGGGATTAGTTGAAAGGCAGGCAACTCACTGATGACCGTAGAGGTCATTCGTCCCAGCTCTCCCTTCTCGTGCGACGGGAGACGGCCCCGGAGATCTCTGCCAAGACGTGGCTAGGGCCGAGAATGGGAATGCCGGCATCCGCTTTCCGGGTTATCCAATCCCGGCTCGCCAAGTGTGTCGCCTCCGTCTGCATAAAATAGCTTACCCAAACGCTCGCATCGACGACGTACATCTACAACTCTCGTCGATCTTGCGAGACGGCATCTACTGCCGAGACACCGCTTGGCCAATACTTGGTCACGGTCTCGGCGATCCGGTCCATCTCGGCTAGGACTTCCCTAGTCCGGTATCTCGTCGTTCGGGAGTCCTCTAGATGTTCGAGCTGGCCGGGCTTCGCGGATACGTTAGACGAAGGTCTAATTGCCACGCGGAACGACGGAGATTGTGTCGCTGGCCTGGGTTTTGAGTTCGCGTATGCCTACTTCGGTCATGGAGCGCACCTTTTGTAGTCACTGTAATGACTACACTATACCTCAAACCCCTCCGGTTGGCAAATCGGCGTTAGGGATCGCGGCGCATGAGGCTGTGGTCTGGCCGGTGGGGCCTTTGTCGGGGCTGTGGGTGGGCGAGGGGAGAGGGCGAGGGTCTTTTTACGAAGTCGTCGGGGGTCTTTCTTGATTTCCAATCGCTTGTCGTCCTGGTTTGTAGGATGCTGGGTCGATTTTTCGTGGTTTTTGCTGGGGGGGGGGGGGGGTTGTGGGGGGGGGGGGGGGGGGTGGGTTGCGTCAGTTGACGCGTCTGGTGAGGACGGGGCCGGGGATGAGCTCGTTGACGCTGATGTTGTGCTGCCACAGCTCTTGGGCGAGTACACGGACCAGCATGGAGAGTCCGGCTTTCGACGACGCATAGGCCGACTCGCCGGGCCGGCCGCGATGGCCAAACAGCAGCAATGCCCGCAGTGGCGATGATCTTGTCTGCGCTCGCTCCTGAGGTGATGGCCGCAGCGTGACGTGCATGGTAGGAACCGATGAGGTTGACCTGCACGGTGTCTATCCACTGCTACGGCTACCGCTCTCGATGTCGATGGCGTTTCGTCGCGGTCGAGGTGCCACCGCATTGAGACGACGATATCGACTCGTCCTCGACTCGCGGAGCGGCGCGCAAGCAAACGCGTGGACGACGGAGTCATAGTCCGTGACGTCGGCTTGTACGGAGATCGCAGTGCCGCCGTCGCATTGGATGTCGGAGACGGTGCGGTCGATCTGGGACTGTGTCCTGGCGACACAGCATACGGCGGCGCCTGCGTTGGCATATCCGGCGGCGATGGCCTTGCCGATTCCCCTGCCCGCGCCGGTGACGAGGGCCACCTTGCCGGACAGGCGCCGTCGATGGGTGGCATGTGGGTCTTTTGCATTCTCGGTAGTCGCCGGGGTAGTCCGTCGGCCCATAGACCTGCCTACGGCCTACCGGTCCTCCTCTCTACTGATCTCTCCCCTCGAGGGAGTCCTAGAGACAGTGGAGCTGGGCGTGTTACAGGGACCCCGACGGCCGTCTCATGGTGCGCAGGCTGCGTGTAGCTGCGCGAGGAAGAAGAACACCAGCGCGACACCGACGGCCCCGACGATGGCCGCGGGGAACGCTATCACGCGCTCTTCGAGGATTTCGAAGTTCTTGGCATCGATGCCGTGGAGGAGGGAGAGAGTGTAGCCGCGTACGCTGAGGTAGCGAACGCCTGTCAGGAATGAACTGAGAATGCCCTCCCAGACGAGCACGTAGACGAGGCCGTAGAAAGCGCGCGTGGGGTGATGAGTCCGGCCCAGGTGAAGATCGAAGCGTAGGCGGCGCACACCGCGAGGAGGCGATGCCGACGTCGTGAAGGACCGCACTTCTACGCCTCCGCGCGACGCAGCGCGGGCGGTCGCCACGACGCCGCTGGCGACCACCACGGGAGCGGCCAAGGCGAAGGTGGCTGCCAGCTTCGCGAGGGCGATGTGCACAAACGTCGAGAGGGCTGAGAACGAAGGGGTGCCGGTCTGTAGTAAGGCGTTCTGATCTTCGAGCTCGTTACCGAGGAGGGGCGGGGCCAACCGTCTATGGTGACGATGGCATGATGGCGCGACGAATGAGCATGTGTACGATCATCCCTCTGAAACGAACTCCTGGTTGTAGACGGCGTTCTCGGGGTCGAAGGACCTGACAAGGAGGACGATCAGCGTGGGCAGGGACGCGAGAAAGACGATCAGCAGGACGCGCCACCGACCGAGGAGCTGCCTGAGGGTTAGTCGAAAGATTTCCGCCATCTAGCCCTCCACGATGTAGCTGAAGACGCTCTCGAGCGACTCGTCCAAGGGTTCGACGCGCAGGAGGCGATTTGCCACGCTCTTCGCTTAAGCGTGCGAGCGCGACGCTGAGCAGCTTCGACGTTCTTGCTGAGCACGACGACCTCTCCGTCCTCGGCCATGGAGACCGACTCGATACCGTCCATCTCGACGAGGGCGGACGCCATGGCCCTGGGGCTGTCGGAGACGACGCGGACGGTGTAGGGCTGCTCGTCGAGCTTGGCGCGGATGGCGCGGAAGTCGCCGGACGCGGCCAGCTTGCCGCTGACCATGAGGAGGATGCGGTCGGCGAGGGTCTCGACCTCTTCGAGGATGTGGGACGAGATGAGTATGGTCTTCCCCTCGGAGGCCAGCTGACGCATGAGGTCGTGGAACTCGATGCGCTGGCGGGGGTCGGTGCCATTCAGCGGCTCATCCAGGAGAAGCACGTCGGGCTGATGCACCATGACGCGGCGAGTCTCATTCGCTGTCTCATTCCCCGGGAGTAGCCGTCGAGCTTCCTGCCCTGCGCCTCGGTCATTCCCGCGCGCTCGATGGCGAGGTCGGCGGCCTCGGCGACGGCGGTCACGCCGTGCAGCTTGGCGGAGAACTCGACGAACTCGCGTCCGGTATAGAAGCCGTAGACGGCCTCATGCTCGGACATGACGCCGACGCGACGGTAGAGGTCGGGGTTGCCCCGGGGCGGCTGACCGAAGATTTCGACCGATCCGTCGGACGGGGAGGCCAGGCCCTCGATCATCTTGAGCAGCGTGGTCTTGCCTGCGCCGTTCGGTCCCAGAAGACCCGTGACGCCCGGCTGGATTTCGAACGAAACGTCGTTCACGGCCACGACGCTGCCGTACCACTTCGAGATGTTTTCCACCGAACGACGGCTGCTGCTGCTTCGGTCATATCGTCATTCTCCGGTAGCGGAGGAGCAGGAGCCCGCCCGGGCCGAGACGAGGAGCGCGTACCAGGCTATGGGAATGGAGGTGTGCAGTTCCCTGCGAACCTCCGCTATGTCGTCCTCGCTCTCGCTCCCGAATATGATGTCGCTCATGTGTATAGGAGCACGACCGACATCGAGCAGCGTGAACCACTTGGCCAGGTCGCCCGTCGGTCTTTCGCACTCCCAGGTGTCCTCGACTACCACACCGTTGACGATCGTTTGACTACCTTCGCACGACGTAGAGGCCGAGAGGGCCGCCGTAACCGGCAGGGAGATCACGAACACGGCGATGACGAACCGCGGCGGCGTAGGCGCGCCGGTTGGTGAAGGCGGACACGGCCATGGGGATGGTGGTCACGAAGAGGGCAACGAGTGCCCCGGCGGCCAGGAACTTGGGTATGTCGAGCCAGTTGTCGCGCAGGTAGTCGACCGGATCGCCGGCGGTGAACAGGAAGCCGAAGAGCAGGAAGACCTGACCAGAGTAGGCCAAGATGAGAGAAAGGCCCAGAAAAGCGGACCACCGGGCCGCGACGTAGTCTATGGCGGTGAGCGGGCGGACGAGATAGAGGTTTATGACGCCGCTCCGCCGGTCGGGGATTAGGAGCTCGGGGGCGATGATGGCCGAGAACAGCAGCATTAGAAGCGAGATGATCTCATAGTAGTCCTCGTGGGAGGGGATGATGTCCTCTTCGGGGCCGAGAATGGCCGCCAAAAGGACGATTCCCGCTGCGGGAGCGGTGACGGAGATGAACATGAGAACCGGGAGAATCTTTGCGAGCGTGCCCCTGCCGAGTCCGAGGGTGGTGCGAAGCCGTTCACCACAGCGACCCAGACGGCACGGAGTCTGCCTCCGCGCGGCCCGTCGTAGTGCTGATATCCGATGTCGAATATCTCGCCCTGCGCCTGCGTCAAGTCGATTCCCTCCGAAAGATGTCCGAGAGCTGCCCGCGACTGGGGTGCGAGCCTTCGCAGGCGGGCATCGGCGTCGACGATGGCGTCGCGGATGTCGTCGAACTGCTCGTCGCTCTGTCGCTGCACCACGACGGAGAGGCCATCGATCGCGGCCTCGATGCCGCGGCTTTGAGGGCCTCGACCACCTCGTCGCGGCGGTCGTCCACGTCGATGTAGAGGGTCTCGGTCTCCTGGGTGAACTGCGAGACGGTACCCTGCTCGATGATCTTGCCGCCCTCGATGACGATGATGCGGTCGCAGGTGCTTTCCACGTCGCCCATGAGGTGGGACGAGAGCATGATGCTGATGCCGAACTCCTTGCCGGTGCGGCGTATGAGCCGGAGCATCTCCTCGCGCCCCCGGGGGTCGAGGCCTGCGGTCGGCTCGTCGAGCAGGATCATGACGGGATCGTGGACGAGGGCCTGGGCGAGCTTGACGCGCTGCTTCATGCCGGTGGAGTACTCTTTGATGTGGCGGTAGCGCTCCTCGTCGAGGCCGACGTGGCGGAGGATGTCGGCGGCGCGGTCCTGGCGGTGACGGCGGGGATGCCGCTCATCTGGGCCATGTGACCGAGGAACTCGGAAGCGGTGATGGCGTCGGGGAGACAGTCGTGCTCGGGCATGTATCCGAGCCGCACGCGCACCTCGACGTTTTCGTAGGGCTTTTCGCCGAGGACCTCGGCGGTGCCGGAGGTGGGAGTGAGGAGGCCGAGGAAGAGCTTCATTGCGGTGCTCTTGCCCGCGCCGTGGGGCCGAGCAGGCCGGTGATGCCTTCGAACACCTGGATGTCTACGGAGTCGAGTGCGGTGGTGTCGCCGTAACGCTTCGTGCAGGCTCTTCGCTTCGAGAAGGGGGCGTGCGGCAGTTGCTCCGGTCATACGCTCACAGGGTCAGGTGATGGTGAGTCCAGTATATCATTTGCATTGGGTTCTAGGTTCTAGTTTCTAGGTTCTGGATTCCCGTGTGCGCGGAGACTCTTGCGTAACCTGTCATTCGGGCGAAAGCCGAAAGCGAGGCCCTTGGTGACAAGCGAGGCACCTTGCAGCTTAGGGCTTTCACCCTCACCCCAACCCTCTCCCGCGAACGGGAGAGGGGGTTACGCAAAGGTCTCCCCCGTATCGGGGTACGGGGCAGGCTGTGCGCGGGAATGAACATGGCCAGCGAAGGCCATCAGAATGGTCGTGGGGGTACACCGCAGAGGGCGCTGGGAGCTCGGAGTGGGCTTTGGATTTCCGCGTTCGCGGGAATCACCATGGCCTTGCGAAGGCCACATAAGGGGATGAAAACGTGTTGGTGCCGGGAACGGGCAGCCACAAGGGTTGCCCCTACAACAGGTTTGCCGCAGTCTTATCCTCATAGCAATGACGGATGTGAAGGTCTGTCGTTCATTTTCGTACCGATGACAGCTTGGGCGCCTTGTGTATGATTTGTGGCGTAGTCAAGGCGAATTGGTACAATAGACTTGCAAGACCGAACACTCGCCAACCAGACTTACAGGTGAGGGCACAGTGCAAATTCATTGGCCGCAACTCGCCCTGTTCTTGCTGCTAGTAGCACTTGTCGGGTGTGCTCTTGTGGATAGCGATGACAAACCGGTGGGCATGGACCAAGAACATGGGACGGTGCCATGTCCAATCACATCCCCAAACGTCAATGTGGTTCGGAATGGTGCCCACTTCAATTATGTGGTCCGGAATGGTACCCACTTCAACTATGGCAACGGTGAGCTGTGGACATCTTTGTGGCCCAAGGGAAGGGTAGTATTCAGCGCCCGCGGACCCGGTACTGTCAATCCCGACGGTTCGCTGTCAATGAAGTGGCCTTGGTATTTAGAGCAAGGCATTCAAGGTGAGCTGGAGATCCAGGGCCGAAGACTGGACGCACCTTCGGACCGTTCGTTGAGCGCTAACCACTCCCCAGTCCTGGGAGATCCCGGGTTCCATGCAGGCGCCATTACCTTCCCAAGTGAAGGCTGTTGGGAGGTCACGGGAAGAGTTCGCGACTCCAGCCTCACGTTTGTAACACTAGTGGTAAAAGGAAGGACGTTGAAGACCGAGACCCCCGAAATACCCTGACATTTTGTGACATTTTGTGACATTCCTTTCTTCGAGTTGGGATGTATGAAGTAGGCGTAAGGGTCTTTGCCTCAGGTAGTGCGTCCGAGGTTTTGGTTAGCGCCAGGCGAGGTTGCCGTCGGACTGGCGCCAGAGGCGGACGCGGTGTTTTTTGTCCTGGCAGGTGTAGGCCTGAACGGTGAGAGTGTGGGCGCTTGCGGGGCCTGAGTGACGCATGACTGCGCCGTCGTAGGGGCATAGGAGGCGGTGTCACGCCCACGTGGCGGCGAGGCGGCCTCTATCCGTGGGAGAACGCGAACGGGGACCATCGCCGCGGTAGGCCACTTTGTCGGGGAAGGACTCGGGTCCGCGTGAGGGGGTCAAGGATCCTCCGTTCTTAGCTCGTCGTGGTCGCGGGTAGTCTTCCCATCCGCAGACGACGCACCGGGGGAACCGGTCGTAGAGATCGAGCGGGCCATCGCATCTCGGGCAGCCGTGGAGGGCTACGGTGAGACCATTCGTAGTGGTTTGCTCTGTCTTGACATAGAACAAATGTACATGGCGCGAGGGGTTGAAGTCAACTTGCATGATATGTATAGTTAGTAGAACTACCCATATATAGGGAATCATAGTTGGGCCGGGGCGCTCGTGTCTGAGCGAGATCGGAGGAAGAGATGACCAAGAAGCGACAGGCGAGCAGGAAGATCGGACGCCGGATCAGGCAGGCGAGGAAGCTGTCGGGGCTGAATCAGCCGGAGTTGAGCGCAGTATCGGCAGTCTAGAATGCGGTCTCGCGGTGGGAGCGGGCAGGAGGTGCACTGCACTTGACGCGACGACTGGGGAGGGAAGCTGGCTCGGCTGTTCACGGGTCGGCGACTGGCTCTGGGGATCGATGACGATGGTGGAGATGAGCGAGTGGAGCTGGTGCGCGGACTACGGCTGGCATCGCGCGCCCGGCGCGCAGCCAATCTCGCAGGGTTGCAAGCAGGGCTACGATGGAACGGAGATCCGTCCAGATAATTTCCCCTATACGGCACACCCGGAGGCGGACTCCTCGGCACGGTGAGGGTGATGGTATGGTATTCGGCAGTGGTCTTCATGGGTGGTTGTGTTGGTTTGAGTTGTGAGAACGGTGTTCTCTATGAAGAGTTCCGACACCACGACGGGCGACAGGGGCGCAACCCGAGAGAATGGCAGGAACAGGAGACCTTTGTGCTGCCGGCGGGCAGGCTCTTCGCGATTATGACGGTTGCGAAGGAACGTCGGGACGGGCGACCACAAGGGTCGCCCTACGACAGGTGCAGAGGCAAATCGTATATAGTAAGGTCAAGAGAGTCCAATTGCCTAGCGTGCTTTTGAGACTCGTGTGACATGATGATGTCGGGTTTGCCGGGGCCGTTGGCGTCGGGGACGACGCCGTTATGACGAAGCCCAGCTTAATGTAGAACTCGTAGGGGTGGCCGCGCAGGTTCCGTATTCGCGCCACGTGCTCCCATACGTTGGGATAGAGGTCGACTCCCGACAGGGTGGTCATGGCCTCGGTGTCGTCGGTCCCTAGCCTGATGGTGATGCCACCTCGCTGCCGTACGAGGTCCTCGAAGTCGGTCACGAGAGCACGCCCTATGCCTCGGCCCTGCAGATCGGGTCGAACGACCAGAGGGTGAATCTCCCAGACCCGACCGTCGTATTCGGGCTGACCGCCGATAAAACCGATCACCTCACCCATTTCGTCCACCGCCACACGGCTTATCTTTCCCTCCGCAAGCGTCTCGCGCGCCTCTTCCAGGGCGGAGTCGATGGTGGGCCAAGCATCGGGAGCCATCTCTCGGAATCCCTCGACCATGACGGTGGCGGTTTGTCGGATGGCGTTGTCGTCCTCGGGCGTGAGGTCGACGATGCGGATCTTCTCCATGCGGTCAACGACCATCGACATCGGAGGGTTCAGCGGTCTCGAAGAGGGCGTCGACGAATTGCTGGGGGTCGAAGGCGGCGATGTCGTCGGGCTGCTCGCCGGTGCCGATGTAGAGGACGGGGAGGCCAAGCTCCTTGGTGATGGCGAGGACGATGCCGCCCTTGGCGGTGCCATCAAGCTTGGAGAGGATGACGCCGTGGCATTCGATGGCCTGGGTGAAGGCGCGCGCCTGATGGAGTCCGTTCTGGCCGGTGACGGCGTCGAGGGCGAGGAGGACTCGGATGCTCGAGTCCGGGGACGTGGCGAGCGACAACGCGCCTGATCTTCTTAAGCTCCTCCATGAGGTTGGTCTTGGTGTGGAGGCGGCCGGCGGTATCGACGATCACGACATCGGCGTCAGCGGCTCAGGGCGGCGGAGACGGCGTCGAATGCGACGGCGCCGGGGTCGGCTCCCTCACGGTGTGAGATTACGTCCACGTCGAGCCGCCGTCCCCATGTTCGGAGCTGCTCCGCAGGCACCGGCCGCGAAGATTTGTGTCGGCCGCGCATGACGACATGATGGCCGTCCACCTGAGTAGAGGTTCGCAGCTCTTGGCGAATGCCGGTGGTCTTGCCGACGCCGTTGACGCCGACTACGAGGGAGACCGAGCGGTGCAGTTCGGTCGGCGGTCCACACCGAGGGGACGATCGGCAGTTCTCGACAGACCTCGACGCGGAGCACTCTCGACATCTACAGCTCTCGCGTTTGAGGATGTCGAAGGCCTCGTCGGGGGAGGAAGGGCGCTCCTCACGGAGCCGGTCGACGAGCTCCATGGTGGACTCGACGCGTCGGCGGAGATGAGTATCATACCTACCAGATTCCTCCCAGAGGTCTCAAACGCTCACTGAGGCGGGCCGCACTGAGAGAACTGGAGGCGACTCGCGATCCGAGCAGCCGCGGCGGGTCTTCTGTTTCTGGTGGCGCGCTTGTGATTCTCGGCAGTCTTCGGTCTCGCGCCGTCTGGAGGTAATTTCTCAGCATGGGGGCCTTTCGGAGGGGTGGGAGAGTCCCGTGGGACGGGATGCCCTGAATCGACGAATCAAGGTTACTATGTGAAGCCTTCATTCACGGCGATTACTATCACCACCACCACGAACGCGATAAAGGCAAGGAGCAGGATGAAGAAGACCGCGAGCGGGATGAATAAGGCGGCGATGGCCCGCCCGGTGGAGAAGTTGTTGTTTGCCTGAACGGCGAACACGGAGAGGACGATCGTCCAGACAGCCACGCCGAACCCGATCATTCCGGAGAGGCCCTGGCCGAAGGAGTCCAACTGGAGGGCCATGAAGGTGACGGGAACGGTGAACACGGCAGGCAGATAGGCGAACCCAAATCCGGCGAAGAGACCTCCGTACGATCCCCGCCGCCGAGGATTCCAACTCATGATCCAGCAGATTGCCGTAAAGAAGGCGACGACCGCGATAGCCAGGAGGGACCACCGACGATGGAGAATCCTTGAAGGGGTCCTGCAGCCAATCGACGTCGTCGAAGTCGGCCGGGTCGAGCGACGCCGCGCCGGCGATCCCCTGCGCGACGGTATCACGATGATGACGATGAGCGCCCAGCCGATGGGTCGGCGGCGAACGATGGTCCGCATGGTCGGGACGGGTTGAAGATTACGCCGATGCAGGTCTCGAGGAAGCCTTGGTTGCGGGACTGTCGTTGGGTGGACATGTACGTGCTTTGGTGTTGGGGGACTGCGGGGGCTTAGAGCTTTGGGTCGGGTTAGGAAAGTATAAACCAGTACGCCAGAGAGAGTGCAAAGGCACCGGCGAGTCTATTGTGTCTCATATAGGCCGACGCTATTCTTAGGTTCGTTCCGCGGCGATGTGCTCCAGCGCTGCGCGGGCGAGGAATCCCGAGCGTGATTCGCTGACCTTGCCGCGGCCTCGTCGACGAGCGCGACGACGCGGGCAGGCAGGGTGATGTTGAGGCGGACGGCTTTGTTCTCGATGGTGGAGAGGTCGACATCCACGAATCCCCAGCATAGGGCGTCCCGGTAGTCCTCATTGGCATGGTGCTCTTGGAGCGGTCTCGTCTTGGCAGCGGTTCCGCGACCATGAACAGGGTCTCTATATGACCGGCGATGGCTTCTTGCGCGTTGGTCAGCGCCTCGTCCAACGTGTCACCGCCTGAGAAGCAACCAGGCAGGTCGGGTACGGTCACTCCGTAGCTGCTGCCCTCGTCCTTGTGAACTACTACCGGAAATCGCATCAGCGTGTCCTCCAATCCCAGGCTGCTTGCCGGTAGATGCTCCGAAGCGTCCTGCGGTAGGGATGTCCTTCCGTGGATGCTGGACAGTAACCACTCCGGGCCTTTCGGGGTGTACGAAGTGGTGATGGCTCCCGGTCACGTTCCGAAGTGTCCAACCGCTTCGACGCAGCCTCCGCATTACCGCCCTACTATCTATGTGTATACTATACACACTTCATTAGAGCGGTCAATGGTGCTCTAGCATACACCCAGCCCCGCCTAGATGATTACCGGGTCGTCGGAGCGGAAGTGGAAGGCTTTTCGGACGGGGGCGACGACCTTCCAGTGGGTCATCGTGCCGATGGGGACGTAGAAGAGGTCTCCGGCGCGGCAGGTGACGCTGACGCCGTCCTGGTCGGTTATGACGGCCTCGCCCTCGATGAAGTAGATGGTCTCGTCCCAGGTGTATTCCCAGTTGAAGGAGCCGGGCTCGCACGACCATACGCCGTTGGCGAGTCGCTTGTCGTCGGACTGCCAGAGCAGCTTGCCCTTCGCTACGGGGTTGCCATCGGTGATCGCCTCGTCGGGGAGTGTCCAATCGTCCAACTCGACATCGGCGACGGTAACCTTTGGGATGCGGGCTGTGGTGGATACCATGGGTAGGCCTCCTGCTTGGGGTGGTCGTATGATATATGGCGGGTGGGTAAGTCAAGGGGAGAGAAAGTAGAAAGTAATTCGTAGAAAGTAGGGAGCAGTACGTATAGCGTGGGATGTGGTGGCTGGGGTTTTGCTATGCTGTATGGGGTAGGTGTTTGTGGCCGGGAGTTTGGGAAGAGAGGGTGTAGTTTCCGATGTTGGATAAGGTTGTGCTGGACAAGCTCGCTACGGTCGAGCAGCGCTCTGAAGAGTTGGAGTTGCAGATGGCGGACCCGGAGGTCGCGGGGGAGTACTCGCGGCTTGAGGGGGTCATCAAGGAGCACAGCTCGCTCAGGCACATCGTGGCGCTGTTCCGTGAGTACCGAGGGACGATCGACGAGCTGGAGGATGCGAGGACCCTGATTCGCGAGGAGAGCGATAGGCAGATGGCCGCGCTCGCTCGCGAGGAGATCGAGGAACTCGAAGGACGGCAGGGTGAGATCGAGCACGATCTTCGGGTCGCGCTGATCCCTAAGGACCCGAACGACCAGAAGGGCGTAATCGTGGAGGTGCGAGCGGGCACGGGGGGCGAGGAGGCGGGCCTTTTCGCCGCGGAGATGTACAGGATGTACACACGATTTGCTCAGCGCCACAGCTGGGGCGTGGAGGTCATCAGCAGCACGGAGACGGGGCTGGGGAGTATCAGGGAGATCATATTTCAGATCGACGGCAACGGCGCGTACAGCCGTCTCAAACATGAGAGCGGGACACACCGAGTTCAGCGTGTGCCGGTGACCGAATCGAGCGGACGCATTCACACGTCGGCCACGACGGTCGCGGTGCTGCCGGAGGCGGAAGAGATCGACGTCCAGATCGACCCGGACGACTTGGAGATCGACGTTTTCTTGGCCGGCGGGCACGGCGGGCAAAGCGTGCAGAAGAACTCGACGGCGATCCGCATCACCCACAAGCCCTCAGGCATGGTAGTGCAGTGCCAAGACGAGCGCTCGCAGTTGAAGAATAAGGAGAAGGCGATGGCCGTGCTCCGCTCCCGGCTGCTGGCGCAAGAGGTGGAGCGACAACAGGCGGAGATTTCGCAGGACCGGAAGTCGCAGGTGGGTACGGGCGACCGGTCGGGCCGAGTGCGCACGTACAACTTCCCGCAGGACCGCGTCACCGACCACCGGGTCGGGTACACGCGTCACAACCTCGAAGCGGTTCTGGACGGGGAGATCGACGACATCCTTCACCGGCTGGTCGAGGCGGAGCAGGCCCGGAACCTGGAGAACTTCGGCGCATGAGGGCTGCGGGAGGCCTGGGCGCACTCCCGCCGGCGTCTGGAACGGGCCGACATCCCTGACGCTGACATCGAGGCGCAGGTGCTTCTGCGCAACACGCTTGGAATAGACCGAGCGACCTTCCACGCCTCCCGGACCGCGAACTGAGCCACGAGGACGCAGAGGCGTTCCAGCAACCCCTAGAACGCGACGGGCGGGATCGCGGGAGAGAGCACGTTCTTACATCACGGGACACAGGGAGTGCTACGACTCGCTTTCGGTGTGACGGCCGTCGCCGACGGATCTGTGATGGGTACCGCGACAGGAGACGGAGTTCCTAGTCGAGGCAGTGTTGGGGTATGCGCGGAGTCGTGGGCGCGACGGGGGCGATCTGACGATCGCGGACATCGGAACCGGGAGTGGGGCGGTCGCGGTCGCGCTGGGGTGTCATCTGCCGAACGCGGTCGTGTATGCGACGGACGTGAGCCGAGGGGCGCTGCGAGTCGCGAGAGGAAGTTCAGAGCACGGACTGGAAGGGCGAGTCCGCCTGCAACCACGGTGATCTGTTCGAGGCGCTGGACGGTCTGGTGGACGTGGTAGTGTCGAATCCGCCCTATCTGAGCGACGACGAGGTTGCCGAGCTTCCGCCGGACGTTCAGCGCGAGCCGACGCTTGCCCTTGCCGCCGGAGTGGATGGGTTGGACGTGCTGCGCAGGTTGATAGTCGGAGCGTGGGAGTACGAGCCCGGAGGGCTGTTGGCATTGGAGATTGATCCGCGGCGTTTGAGGGGTTCCGATTTGGCCCGCGGTACTTTCGGAGACAGTAAGGTTGGGATTGTGAAAGACCACGGGGGTTTGGACAGGGTGGTGACGGTCGGGCTGGGATGAGAGCTGAGGTGCAGGCTTTCGGGCTAGCTTGAACGTTCTCTCGTTTCGGCCGGGGGAGGAGAATTCATCACCACCCTCTAGCGCCGGCCTTCTGCGGGTGGCGTTTGACGGTGTGCCCTACCGAGGCATATTGAGACTAGCCTTCAATGTTGGAATGCGCATGCGCCTGGAATCGGGAGTATCATCAAACCGTGGACGCGCGATGTTCTGTTACTGCGGAAGTGAGGCGATAGGAGTCACAGCCATGGCGTGCCTGAAGACGGGATCGAGCAAGTGGACGTCCGTACTAAGTGGAAGCATGAGGGGCTCGACTTTACTCCTTGGCTCGCCAAGAACCTACACCTTCTAGGGGATACGCTGGGAATGGAGCTGGAACCGATCCAGACGGAAGTGCCGGTGGGCCCGTACTACCTGGACATTCTGGCGAAAGAGGCCGGCGAGGGAGTCTTGTAGCCATCGAGAACCAGTTGGAAGAGACCGACCTCAGCCATCTCGGGCAGTTGCTCACCTATGCGACCGGAAGTGGCGCGCAGGTAGCAATTTGGGTCGCTCCGGAATTCGGCTATGAGCACGCGCAGGCCCTTCACCGGCTCAACAAATGGACGAAGGAGAGCATCAGGTTCTTCGGGGTCAAAATTGAGGTCTTTAAGAAGGCCGGTGATGAACACCTAGAAGCAAGATTTCGCAAGGTGGTATACCCCGGCGGCTGGAACAAGCAGGTGACACTCCCGTCGGGAGAGATGCCCGCGACCAAGCGGCAGTACTACGAGTTCTTTCAACCACTGATTACCAAGCTGCGCGGAGAGGGCTTTGCCGATAAGGCTGTCAATTACTTTGACCACACCGGCCGGTTCTTTCCCTCTCGGCTAGACGAAGATACAGGCTACGCGGTCAGCTTCTGGAATAATGGTGCATGGGTATCTCTCCATGTTCGAACGTGGGACAGCATTGAGCGAAACAATCGGATATTCGACGAACTGCAAAAGGCCAAGCCTGAGATCGAAGAGTCCCTCGACGCTGAATGGGTATGGCACAGATTCGGACCTCACTCTTTCTTCACCATAAGCATTAGAAGAGACAGCTCGATAGACGACTCGTCGGAGAAGCTTGAAGAGACCAGGGGCTGGATGCTAGACCAACTCCCAAAGTTGAAGAAGTCCTCGATCCGCACCTGGAGCGGGTCTTGAAGGAGTTGCAACCCGAAGGGGCGGACGACTGAAACAACGCGAGGAGGAGAGGGAAGACGCAACAGGGACGGCGCACGCATGAATGAACCACAAGACCCTATACTCGTCGCCCTTTACGCAAGGGTTTCCAGCGAGCGGCAGGACGTAGATATTTCCGTGTCGGCTCAGCTACGGGTGCTCAGCGACTACGCCCGGAAGAACGGCTACGCTGTCGCACGGGAGTACGTGGACGAAGGCGAGGGTGGCCGCGTCCCGCCCGGCCGGAGTACCGAAGGACGATCGAGGAGGCCGGATGTACCGACACTCCCTTCGTGAGTGTTTCTCAAGGCTAGATAGGAAGTCGCGCCAGACTCCGTGACAGTGCAGATCGGCCCGAGAGACAGCTTTTCTTCTTGATGACTCTCCCTCCTCAATCGAGAGCCTCGGCGACTTGAGATTGTGATGCCGGCGAGAGCGGCCGTCAGCCGGACGCGCCCGGTGTTGGAGGGACGGGAGCCGTGGGAAAGAGGGTGGCCAGCATTATCGGCAACTCCCTGCACTCGAGGGCGAGGAAGACGGATCTGTCCAAGGCGTGGTACGACACGCCGAGAGGGGTCGCATTACGCGCACGTCGCAGGACGGGTGCGTCCACTGGCGAAGCCGAGTCTGGGGATTCGAGTATGAGGGATAGCTCGACCGACACCCACCTGATGAATCAGTCGGGCTGGACTTCACAGCTTCATCAAGGACGCGAGGGACGATGACCCCGGCGAAGTGGGCGGTACAAAGGCCATGTACTGGCACGCGCTGCGTGGTCCAACCAATCCAACGCGCCCTGGGGCGGCAAGGGGCACTTCGTGGCGATCTTACTCTCTCCCGATGGGGTGCATTGGACTCCCGACGAGCGATCCGGTCATCGATTTCGCACGGGCCCTGACGGACGGACAGTTCCGCGTGCCTGGCTGGGACTCCGATCACGATAAGTCCGCGGTGTCTTACATGCGGCCCACACCTACTCTACTTCTTCGCTCTACCGACAGAGGACATCGCTGCTGGATCGCTAGCGACGAGACTTTCGTCAACTGTGGCCCGCCGGTCTTGGCCGTGGCCGGAGGAACGACGAGGAGTCGAGATCGAGTACTCTGACCGCATGACCGTGGTCGAAGTATGAGGAGTCTACTCCTTCGGCTTCATCATCGTGTCACCACACACGACGTGGTGGAGTTCGCTCCGACCAGTCGCGCGACTCGATGCTGGCCGCGAGCCGAACGGGATCAGCTGGAGCAAGCCTGTTCGGGAGCAGAGACTTCCTCCACAGGCGAGCCCGGTGACTGGGTACTCGAGATGGAGCGGCGCCTGCACCCTGATCCCGGCGGGACGAGCTTGGCTGTACTACTCGGGGGCGAACAATCCCACACAACGTCAAGCCGAGATGGTGGCGGACGTGGTCGGTCAAAGACTGGGACGGCACGGTGATCGACGGGAGCTGGCGGGCGTACGCTGTTGGTGTGCACAGCTGCGACGCGACGGATTCGCGTCGTTTGACGCAACAACGAGTCGGCGAGGGAAATGCGTTTACACGACCGAGCCGCTGACGTTCTCGGCACGACGTGCTCCACCTGAATGTCGAGAGCTCACTGTGCAGGGTCGAGGTGGAAGTGCTCGACCAGAGAGCGAACCGGTCGACGTCTACTCACCAGGCGCGGCCTGTGTGCCCATCGCGCGGACCGACTCGACGGACACACGGTGAAGTGGAGCGCGACAGAGACCTTCGTCCATGCCCCGACACGCTGCCGACATAGTTGGGGCGAGACAAGGGCCTTCAGTCGAGGCTCAGAAGCCGGTGAGGCTAAGGTTCAACCTGAAGGACGCGAGTCTGTACTCGTTTTGGGTGGATTGAAGGGCGGGGTGGCACCTGGCGGCTTACGGCTAGGGGGTGGAGGGCACCTCCAACGCTTTGCGTAGCTGCTTTGGGCGCCGTTTCTCTATCTAGGGTGGTACAATCTCGACACTGCTAAGCCATGCACGCACTACGACATGCTAACTAGCATAACGGTACGGAAATTCAAGCAATTCGAGAACGTCACCGTCGACTTGGACGACGTGGTAGTGTTCGTTGGCCCCAACGATTCAGGGAAGACCACAGCTTTGCAGGCCCTGTCGTTGTGGGAACTAGGACTACGACGATGGCATGAACGCTGGGGTATGGTCCCGACCAGCGATATGCAGCGGCCAGGAGTATCCATCAACCGACTGGACCTGTTCTCCGTTCCGGTAAATCATGCCAACCAGCTTTGGCGGGGTCTGCGAACCCGGGAAGCTAAAGGCCAAATCCCGGAACCAGCAATGTCCGTATAGAAATAGAAGTGCACGGGAGAACTACGTCCGGCAAGGTATGGTCCTGCGGGTTTGAGTTTGACTACGCCAACCCAGAGTCGTTCTATTGCCGTCCTCTACGAACCAACCTTGACGGACAGTCCAGAATGCCCGTACCTGTCGAGGCGTTAGAAGAGAAAATTGCCTTTTTGCCCCCAATGTCCGGTTTGTCATCTTTGGAGGCGATGCTTCAGCCAGGAACCGTGAACGTTCTATTGGGACAGGGAAGAACCGCTGAAGTTCTTCGCAACCTCTGTTTCCAAGTATTCCTTCATCAACGTGAGGGTTGGGAGAGTGTATTGGTACCGAGGATGAACCAGTTGTTTGGCGCTACGATCCTCGACCCTCAGTACAACCCGGAGCGCGGCGAGATCACATTGCGTTACAAAGACATCCGTATGTCGAACTTAGAACTCGATCTAGCCTCGTCGGGGCGGGGCTTTCAGCAGACGTTACTTTTGACGGCGTACATGCTGCTGCACCCCAACTCGGTAATCATGCTCGATGAACCTGATGCTCATCTGGAAATCCTACGACAAAGGCAAATCTACCGAGCGATTACCGAAACCGCCGCCCAACAAAACAGCCAATTGCTGATTGCCACCCATTCCGAAGTCGTGCTAAACGAGGCCGGTGACCGCCACACGGTGACCGCTTTCGTCGGCACTCCTCATCGGATGGATGGTCGGAGTAGTCAGGTCTTCAAGGCGTTGGCGGAAATAGGATTCGAGAACTATCTCCAGGCCGCGCAGCAAGGTGGGTGTTGTACCTGGAAGGCTCCACCGATTTGGCGGTATTGCATGCCTTCGCCCGTCAGATCGGACATCAGGCAGAAACCGTCTTGGACCGTCCGTTTGTCCATTACGTAGGTAACCAGCCCATGCGGGCCCGCCAACACTTCTACGGGTTGAGAGAGGCGTGTCCCGATCTCCTTGGATTTGCCTTATTCGACCGTCTAAACCTACCGGGAGAAGCCAACGACGTATTGAGAGAGTACAGTTGGCTGAAGCGAGAAATTGAAAACTACTTGTGCAGCAAGGACCTATTGCTACGTTGGGTCAAGGAGGAGTTCCCGCTTTTCCTTCAAAGTATGGAAGATGCTATCGCCGAAGTTGAAAGTGCTCGGCGGATACTGGGCCAGACTTCGCCATGGGACGGTGATACAAAAGTGTCAGAGGATTTTCTGGCGCCATTGTTCCGATCCTTCTATGAGAAACGGGGATCGTCCGGTCAAGTCCTCAAATCCGACGAACCACTTTCTCGTTGTTGTCACTACATATGGGAACCCGAAGACTCGATGCCGAGTCCGTGACGGGTGCTTGACTCAATCGTAAGTGTGGCAATGCAAGCACGCCCGTCATGAAGTGGTGTCAGTGCATAGCATCAAGTTTCTCGACCGAAGAGTCCGTCATGCGGTGTGGTGTAAATTCCCCTCGACCGGTCGAGGTTGACCTCGACACTGGCTAGATTTACACGCTAGCCGTCTAGGGATCGGGTCTTCTTATACGAGTCGGAATGTTCTGATCTCCCGTTTCCGCAGCCCATTCGCAGTGTCAGAACGAGCCACTACACGTAGCTGCTTTGGCCTCCGTCGGCGACGATGCAGGCGCCGGTGATGAGGTCGGCGCGTTCGGATGCGAGGAAGGCGGTTAGGTCGCCGACGGGTTCGGGCCAGCCGAACTTGACGAGGGGCAGGTTGCGGTCGATGAAGTCGGCTACGACATCGGGCGGATTCTCGTTTTGGAATCTCTCCCACGAGCCTGTGTTCGTGGAGGATGGAGCCGGGGGCGATGCTGTTGACGAGAACGCCGTCGTGACGAGGGTGCGGGCAACGTGTTTCGTGGCGGCGATCAGGGCGGCCTTCGCGGTCATGTAGCCGAGGTTTCCTCCGAACTCCCTGCCGTAGATGGATGCGATGTTGATGATGCGTCCCCACTTCTGCTCGCGCATGTGGGGTATGACCAGCCGCATGAGGGCGTAGCCGCCGAAGACGTTGAGGTCGAAGACGCCCCTCAGCTCGTCCACGGTAATGTCGGGGGCGTCGGTGCGGACGAGACTGCCGCCGACATTGTTGACGAGGATGTCGACGGGGCCCAACTGGTCGACGACCTGGCCGTGGAGAGGGGCGGCCTGATCGGTGTCGGACACGTCGGCCACTATGCCGACGGCCTCGACTCCGAGCGCTTGGAGCTCGGCAGTGGTGGCGTCGAGGGTTTCACGCGAGCGTCCGCAGATGGCGACGTTCACGCCTTCGCGCGCCAGTGACAGCGCGCAGTGCTTGCCGAGTCCTCTGCTTCCGCCGGTGACGAGTGCGATCCTGCCAGCGATACCAAGATCCATGGAGAGTGCTCCTGATGGGGGGTACACCCCCTCTCTTTATATCTCTCCCCCGAAGGGGAGAGACGATGGACAGGGGTGTCCCGATTCGGGGGTACAGTATAGCAGGACGGTTTTCGCAGGGGGCGATGTCGCATTCGCGGTCGAATTCGTGGATAATGGGGCATCCGAAATGAACCGTTGAGGGGGAGGTCCTACCATGGTTATGGGGAAGGCGGCGCTCTTCGTCGAGCCGTACCACTTCGAGATCACTGAATTGCCGGCGGTGCAGTCGAAGCGGGGGGCATCCGCGTCAAGATAAAGACGGG